TTTTTTTTTTTTTTTTTTTTGTTTCTGTTGTTTATTTTCGTGAATTTTGAAGATCCCCCATCTGAATACAAAAAAGTTCGATATTTTTAATGTTTGTTTAATTTTGTTGTTCTTGAGGAAAAAGGCGAATTAAGCAGGGTGCATCTCGCTTGGATAGAATTGTTTCTTTTTCCTTTACATTTTTTGTTTTTCTCTGTGCAAAATTGTGCAATAATTTGTTTTACATCTGAAGTTGGATAAAAGTTTGAGCTCTGTATCACAGTGGAATTGAGAAAGATATTCTGAGAGGTAGATGCTCATATCATGTTTTTAAGGTTTACTATCTATTCTTTGACTTGTGTGTATCATGAATTTTCTCTTTAAAATTTTTGAGAGCTCACATTCCTGAATGATTTAGTTATGCTTCCGTTTACCTGTATCATATATGTGAGAACAGAAAGACGTGCAATTGGAGTTCCGGTGTCAGATTTGGTTTCACTCTTGTTAGACATGTTAGTATTATGAATTACAATTGCAGATAGGCACGATGGATCTCTTGTTTAAGGGGTTCACTTTGTTATGTGCTAAAATCAAATCGTTCTAGGGACACTCGCTATATGCTGCAAGCAGTGTTTAGGCGTCTAAGATAGGTGCACAAGAAATATAATTACATCTCTGTTTTGATTGAATAATTTTGCCTATAAATTACCTGAGCAGTGTTTAGAACTTTGTTGCACTATAAAGTCTAGAGTCTAGAGTCATCTGTCAGATAAATGATGTTAGTCTCATGCTTGATGTAACCTTTTTCAGCAATATTCTATGAAGCATACAGAATAAGAATTATACAAATGGTGAATAAAGAAAATTACAATTCACGAAGCATGACTGCGTTTAAACATTGATAAAGCCTGAACTGTGAAATCATGGAACATCAGTTCTCTGCTTAATAATAAAACGTAAACGTTGTTATATTACTGAACGAGAAATGGGTTTGCAGGTAGACTCTGTGTCATGCTATTGCAAAGTTGACTCTGGCCTGAAAACGGTGGTTGGCGCCCGAAAATTTGTTCCGGGCTCAAAAATCTGCATCCAGCCAGACATCAACCCTCGTGCCCACAAGCCCAAGAGCTCACGGCGTGAGCGCACCCGTATCCAACCTCCCCTCCTCCCGGGCCTGCCCGATGACCTGGCCATTGCCTGCCTCATCCGGGTTCCACGTGTCGACCACAACAAGCTCCGTTTAGTCTGCAAGCGCTGGTTCAAGCTCCTGGCCGGAAACTTCTTCTACTCCCTGCGCAAGACCCTCGGCATGGCGGAAGAGTGGGTCTACGTCATCAAACGCGACCGGGATGGCCGTATCTCATGGCACGCCTTCGATCCAACCTACCACATGTGGCAGCCTCTGCCCCCTGTCCCGCTCGAGTACAGCTCAGCACTCGGCTTTGGCTGTGCTGTTCTTAGTGGCTGCCATTTATACTTATTCGGGGGAAAAGACCCTTCGAAGGGTTCCATGAGAAGAGTCATCTTTTACAGCGCTCGCACGAATAAATGGCACCGGGCCCCCGACATGCTCCGCAGGCGCCACTTTTTCGGATCGTGCGTGATAAATAACTGTTTGTACGTTGCGGGTGGGGAGTGTGAGGGGATTCAGAGGACTTTACGGTCGGCCGAGGTTTATGACCCGAACAGAAACCGGTGGACCTTCATAGCGGACATGAGTACGGCCATGGTGCCATTCATTGGCGTTGTTTATGGTGGAAAGTGGTTCTTGAAGGGGCTAGGGGCCCACAGGGAGGTGCTGAGCGAGGCCTACACGCCGGATAATAACTCGTGGAGCCCGATTAACGATGGGATGGTGTCTGGGTGGCGTAATCCGAGTATTTCTATAAATGGGAAGCTTTATGCCTTGGATTGTCGTGATGGGTGTAAGTTGAGGGTTTATGAGGAGAGTACCGATTCTTGGAGTAGGTTTATGGATAGCAAACTACATCTCGGGAATTCAAGGGCTTTAGAAGCGGCGGCTCTTGTGCCGCTCAACGGGAAGCTTTGTATAATTCGGAATAACATGAGTATAAGCATGGTGGATGTGTTGAGTCCCGATAGGCGGGTCG